GATAGCTCTTTGATATCCTATTTTTTTTTTCTTTTGGTTATATACGCAGGGGTGGGAGACCACTGCCAAGGATCTTTTTCTCTGTGTTCTCTTCTAGAGGTTTTCCAGTTTCAAGTCTTATATTTAAGTCTTTAATCCATTTTTAGTTGATTTTTTGAGTGGTATAAACTAGTGATCCAATTTCATTCTTCTGCATACAAATACACAGCTGCCCAACACCATTTTATTGAAGAGACTATTCTTTCCCCAGAAAGTATTCTTGGCTTCCTTCTCAAATATTAGTTGACTGTATATACATGGGTTTTTTTAATAAGTAAAAACATGCTATTTACGAAGAGATCTCAACCAGTGGACACATTTTCTAAAAGTTCAATTTTTGCAGTGATTTATTCAGTATTTCTCCAAGTACTTTCATGATGAGTTTAGCAAGAACAAAGGGTTCTATCACTAAAAATCTTAGAAAACACTACATGCTACATTCCTGCCTTACACATTCAAAACACATTTTTGACATAAAGAGTGTGAAATCTATAGTACCGTAAAGTAAATATAAGTTTCAAAAACTGAAAACCTGTTACTTTATAATCCCTACAGAAAAATAGGATACATTAGCATCCCAAGACAGATCTGCACAAGATTAACAATATTTCCAGAGCTTTGATTTTCTCACTCCAAAGGAGCGTGATGTGGGAAAAAATACATTTTAGCACATATTCTACATAAATTTGCATATTCAATGTAATTCTTCAAAATACTTTGTATGAGGCATGACTGCAAATGTGTATGAGGTTTCTTTTTGTAGTTTTGAAAAAATGATCTAAAATTGGAGTGTAGTATACATTGAGTTGTATACTTAAAATTGGTCCAATTTATGGTGTGTAAATTAAATCTCAATAAATCTGTTAAAACATATTATAATGTTTATAAAACCATGACCCACATAGTGCAGTCCCAGCCAAAATAACCAAATCCACTGCAACCCAGTGGGACAGTGGGCAAAGGATAGATTATTCAATATAAGGTGCTGAAAATATACAGCTAGATCCCTACCTCACACTTTTTATCAGAAACATTCTAATGGGTCAAAGATTAAATGTGAACAAATGAAACAACAAAGAAACTGAAAGTGGGAGAATTTTTTTTTAGTATCGTGGAGTGAGGAAGGCCTTTTAAATGGAATAAATTGAACTTCAAAAATGTTTTTATAATAAAATTTTTTTTAAATTCATGAACAAAATACAAAGGCAAACTGGGGGAAGCTATTTTCTGCTCATATCATAAACTATGTACACACACACACACACACACACACACAGTGACTTATTGTACTGTTGCTTATACAACAATGAAAATATCCCAAAAATCCATCAGTAGGAGACTGGTTAAATGTAACACAACCATATAGTGGATATTCTATAGTCACTAAAAAAAGGATGAGGCAACTCTACCTGCTGATAACAGAAAATCTCTTAGCTACCTGAAAAAGCAAGATACAGAAAGTTGCATATTTTTTGCCAAAGTGGAGAAGAAGACACACAAGAAACTAGCAACAATGATTGCCTCTAGAGAGGAGGACTGCATGTCTGGAAGACTGGGAGGAAGGGAGAGATTTACTTCTCATTGCGTACCCTTTTTTAATTTTATAAATGTGCATGTTCTATCTGTACCAAAAAAAGGTAATTATTTAAAATATTTCTAAATACTTAGACTATGCAAAATTGAAACAACTGAAGTCTTTTGTTTGTATTTTTAAACACTGTGAGAGGGACCCACAGACCCCTTGAATATTTAAGTTCTTTTTTCTCTTTCCCTTACAATATTCTCATATTCCATTCTCCCATGTTTTTCATTTAGTTTTTCATAAAACACATACCTCACCCCGCCAAAAAAAAAACACAAAACAACAACAACAAAAAAAACTTCTCTGTCCACAGCGTGAGTTTTTTGTGCCAAACACTGTTCTAGATGGTTGTATAAATCAATGACTAAGACAAAAATCCCTGCTGTATGCCCTCATCCCTTACGTTCCATCAGATGGAGATATACCATATTTTTAAATCATAATAAAGGTAATAATAATCTAGTGAGTTAGAAGATGGTGGGTACAAAGAATATAAAACAATAGAGCAGAATGAGGGGGGTGGAGGTATGAGATGGCAGATGGCAGATGGCAGATGGCAATGTTAAATACAGTGTAAGAATTGACTTCAGGGAGAGGTTGGCATTTGAGCAAAGACTCAAAGAGGGAGATGAGTGAGTGAGACATGTAGACATCTCGGGGAAGAGAAGACAGAGGGAAGAGACAGCATGAAGGCCCTAAGGCAGAACATTCCTGGTGTCTTTGGGAGACACCAAGGCATCCTGAGAGACTGGAGCTGGAGAGAGGGAGAGAGAGTAGCGGAGGATGAAGTTAGGGAAGTAAGGAGGGTGGGTGCCCAATCCAGTAGACTCTTGAACCATGTACCATGAGACTTTTGGCTCTTAAGTAAACTGAGGAAACATGGCAGGGTGATGCCATTGTAGTTTTCTATTATAACCCACACCCCTTTGTCGTCCTATAAACTGAGTCCCGAGACTCAAATGGCCAGTTACCACCACTTTGTCATTATGTGTCAGGCAGCACAACACATTGTTCCTCAATTCTGATGAGGACTCTTAATGGATAATCATTTTGAGAGCCTTTCAAAACTTCTAATTGGGGATGCTTCCAGCATTTAGACTATCATACAGACAATATTCTAATGCATTTGTCAATGAAAGGCAAACCATTTGTTCAATGAATGCGTCTGTTTCAATTGTATTAAGTTTTTACCTCCTTTGAGCACCTTTTTGCCTGGCTATTGGAAATATTAATATCCTTTCTTCCAAGCACATGTTTAGAATTTATGCTTCTTATATTCACCATAACCTGGACCCTTACCCCAAGCTTCTTTGTAGACTGATCCCTGACTATTGGCGTGTTTGTGTTTTCAGCTTCTCCATCATAATGTCTGAGAAGCCACTGCCCACAGTGCCTTCTCTCCAAGTAATTTCAAGTTCATCTTAGAACCAAGTCCTGGTCTCAGCTATAGGATGCCATCCCATGTCTCTTTAAACATTTAAACTTTTATGAGTATCTCCTATGAACATGTTCTATTCTTTCAAATTCTTTCTCAAAGCCTCCTCTCATCCATTTTTTACACAAAAAAAGGCTAGCAATTTCATCATCACAGTTTTGTTTTAACTGTGGCAGGGGTATGGATAGAATGTTCTTTCATTTTCTATCATCTGGGACACCTTTGAAAAGGCTGGTATCTTTATCAGATCCACCGGGCTTTTCAGAAAGTGCCTTCATCCCAGTTGAGCAATGGAATCAGTAATGTTGAATTTGTGCTCTATTATAAGCAGACTGTGCACAGCAAAAATGTTCTCCTGGATGTGGGGGAGGGAGAACGGTGGGGAGAGACACTGGTGACGTGGAGATTTGGTGAAGGATACAGGGCCTATATCTGGGTAAGTTGCTTCAGTTTCTCACTAATAAGATTTCTAGGAATAGACTTATTTTGAATCACATGTGCACGCTGTGTTTTTCTCAATTTGTCATTCCTATGCTCTGGCAAATTTCTAGGTCTAATTCCAAGATGTTGCAATTTCCCCATGGGTATCATAAAACTGGTACAGTGCGCCTGGTTAATTTTCTGATGTGGCTGTAAGAAAGCAAGGAAGCCCCATCCGATTGCTTTTTTTTACATTTCATGATTATTTCCTTTGGGCGGGTACATGCCAGGCATATACGTCAAGCGATGTTGAGATTTCTTATTAAAGCACAGGTCCCGCTACCCCAAAACTATTCATTTGCACTGCCCTAAAACCACGTGCATACATTCTCCCATCCAAGAAGCTGCTAATCCTAGGGACCGTTTAGCCTAGAAAGTCAGGTGTCCCAGCCCATATGGCCCACCCCTCAGTTTATATGCCAAACGTCATGCTAATAAACGATCCGTCATTCTCAGGATCCTGTTTGTGGAGGGAAAAACCAAGTCCTATTAGACCACAACTAAAGAGACCTGTTGTCTGCCTCCCTAGGCACATGTGACACCATGCATGGTTTAATTTCACTCAGCTCTTTAATTGAGCCCTGGTGCTAACAGCTTAATGGTTCACCAGGGCATTGTATTCTGCAGATTTTAAATTAAAGTTTGAGCCCCCCCCCCTTAGGACATGCACAGTACTCCAATTAACACTAATTGGTTTTACACATGATTATCAAGTGAAAAACATGGTTTTCCTGAAAATGCCACTTCTTTTCTCCTGCTTACAAAAACCCACAAATTCTAAGAAAACGACCATGGATGCATGCCAAGACTAGATATAAGGATGCCTAGCATCGTGTTTATATTGGCAGAAAACTGGAAGGAAATGTCTACAATGGAGAATTGTGTACACAAAGAATAGTACAGAAAATGCAACATTTTTTAATGTTAAGAATAATTTTTGACATGGGAGGATGTTCATGATGTATCGTAAAGGGAAAAAAAAGTTGGAGACATACAGGAGGGGCATGATATCATTTTCCTCCACAGCATAGACAGAAAGACCAGAAGGATGTCTGTATCAAAATGTAAAGAATAATTATCTCTAGTGGTGGGAATATTGTTGATGTTTCTCTTATTCGTTTGCATTTCTAATTTTCTAAAAATAATGCATTATTTCTGCAAGAAGAAACCATCATTTTTCAAAGTCCGTCATCGAGCCTACAGGAAAAAAAATGCAACAAGTGGCTTTATTTTGAATTTTTTTTAACCCTTCATCTCCACCAACCCTTGTGTGGGACACTGAGAACCCTCTATCAGTAATGTGTTAATAGTTTCCAACGGAATTACGAGAGGTGACTGAGGTTTTATACATGCGTGGAGAGGCGAGCGCTGAAGTACGCGGTTGCCAATGCCCGCCCTCATGTTCATTTATGCCAAAACTACCACCTGAGAGGGTGGATTTATGTCCCTGTGTTTCTTTTCCAGAGCCAAAGATGTTTATCTTGCTCTATGTTACAAGTTTTGCCATTTGTGCCAGTGGACAGCCTCGGGGTAATCAGTTCAAAGGAGAGAGCTACTCCCCAAGATATATCTGTAGCATCCCTGGCTTACCTGGACCTCCGGGACCCCCTGGAGCGAATGGTTCCCCGGGGCCCCATGGTCGGATCGGCCTTCCAGGACGAGATGGTAGAGACGGCAGGAAAGGAGAGAAAGGTGAAAAGGGGGCTGCAGGTAATGAACGATGAAGTGCCATGAAACACCCCTCGTTCACCCACCCACCCTCCCCCGCCTTAAACCGCTTCCCTTCTCTGTTGCCTTTTCTAATGGGAATTGCTCCTGAAATCCCTTCTCTATTTCACCTTCCTTAATCATAATAATGTGTTGAGCCCTTACTATGCTTTAGATACCGCTCTGAACTCTTTACCTACACCTTATTTTATGGCAATGACAACTCTTTCGGTTATCCCATTTTACAGATGAGAACACAGAGCAATAACATGGTTAAATTAATTACTGAAGACGGAAGTTCACTGCTAGTGACCGGCAGAGCTGGACTCAAACACTGATGATGCCCGTGGCCACGGGGCTGTTATAGCTAGCAAGCAATGGCTGGATGTGCGAGGGCATGGATGGATAGACAGACAGATGGACAAGGAAGAGAAATGGACAGACGAAGCAGAGGCAGGAATTAGGAGCCAAAAGCACAGATGCCATCCTGACCTGTACTAAATATCCTGAGCAAAGCTGCATAAAAGACTTCTAGATTTTATTTTTCACAGATGAAATGGCAATAGCACTGTTTAGCCCACCTTTCGTAGCTCATCTCTTTCCGTCCTGTCCTGTCCCAGCTAGAAAAGTACATTCGTATCACTCTTAACAGCAACACAATTGCTCCCTACTACTTCAGGAATGTTTACTTTTTTTTCCCCCCCACAAATACATTGGCCCAGGAAGATTGCCAGACTCTGCAATCCTTCAGAGTAAACCGAATTGAAAGTCTAGAGAAGCTGGGTTAACTCTAAAAGAGGAAGCGATTTGGCATCAATCTTTAAAAACAAGTTTCCGAGTGTAAAGGCTAGGACAAAAGACAGGAAGAGAAAAGTCAATTAGTCTAAGAAACATGTCTCTATCTAGTCATTGCCCCTGATTTACTGGTGTTACGTGAAATAGCAGCATAATATACATGCAAGTTACTGGATAATAATTCATTTCTGAATTTGTCCTGCAGAAAATACTTGGAAAATCAGTAGCTACCGAATGTGTGAATATTGTTCAATATTAGATGAAAAACCTTTAGGTAAAGGTTCAACATCAGATAAAGAACCTTTAATTTGGAGCTTACATCTTAATCTATGGTGACACCTATGACTACAACTTACCACTGTGTCATGATCACGAATAGCCTTGAAATCCTGTAATAATAACAGGACCGTCGCTACGTATGACCAACCCTTTTAGTTTCTTTACTGTGTCTGGAAGCAATAATGTAGTGTTTCCACAAGCATGTATTGGAGTCAGTCTGATTGAGGCTTAGATCTTGGCTCCTTCAATTACTAACTTAGTATCCGTGGACCAACAACCGCTTGAAGCCTCAGTTTCCTCATTTGTAGATTGGGAGTAGTAAGGGTGATTGTGACAGTTAATAATACAATAATACACGGAAAACACTCAGTAGGGTTACTGCCATCTGGTAAACACTCAGTAAATGTTAGTTCTTATTACATATCACACAGTGATCTGCAAACATGAGTCATAGCTAACTTGTTGAATATCCAAACTCATGTAATAAACTCGAAATGGGTGCTCAGTTTCATTAAGTAGTTCTGATATCATTTAAAAATACACATGTGGAGAGGTGCCTGGCTGGCTCACTTGGTGGAGCGTGAGACTCTTGATCTCAGGGTTGTGAGTTTGAGCCCCACATTGGGTGTAAAGATTACTTAAAAAATAAAATCTTTAAAAATATAAGTATGTAGAGGGGCTCCTGGGTGGCTCAGTCAGTTGGGCATCCGACTTCGGCTCAGGTCATGATACCACGGTTCGTGAGTTTGAGCCCCGCGTCGGGCTCGGTGCTGACCACTCAGAGCCTGGAGCCTGCTTCCGATTCTGTGTCTCCGTCTCTCTCTGCCCCTCCCCCACTTGTGCTCTGTCTCTCAAAAATAAATAAATGTAAAAAAACACATTTTTTAAATATAAAAGTATGTGGATATGCATTCAGATTAAATTGAATGTTCATAATTATTACAAGGTTAACCATATGAGGTCAGCTACACCTCCGTATTCATGGGTACACCCAAGCATTGTCCTTCAACAAGCTTCTTGTGTACCTGTTGTTACCCAGTATTATTCCAGACCAGTGTTTTTCAACCTCTATCCTAATGATATTTCAGGCCAAATAATTATTTACTGTGGGATGGATATCCTATGCATTAGAGGACATTTAGCAGCATCCGACTAGCTGCCAGTGGCACCCCCACCAACTGTGACAACAAAAATGTCTCCAGACGTTGCCAACTATCCCTTGGTGGGCAGTGTAAAATCGTCCCTGGTTGATATTACTGTTCTAGACAAGAAGAACACAAACATGAATAAGACATTGCCTTGATAAACATTTGGGTGTGGAAGGCCAATATAGAAACATATAATTACAATATTCATCATCATCATCATCATTATCATAGCCATTTATTAAGAACTTACTACATCGGGAATTTTACATTTAATACTTAATGTTTATCATAAGCCTATTAGAAACCATTATAATCAGCAATAATTGTGTTACAATGAAAAAATTGAGATTTGGAAATAAAATGACTTTGCGAACCTGAGATTATTTAATTCCAATATGCACACATACACACATAAGGATTTAGAACATCTAAGAAAGGTAGGAATGCCTTTGTGATCATTTACAAACAACAGTAACAGAGCCCTGGTGTTTTGGGGATAAGCTGTTAATGCATCTGAAACTGGGCACAACATGGCTAGTAGTCTTTGATTCTTCTTTCCCCTTTAATGACACCACAAATGTCTTCTCCTTCATGTGCCCTTGGTAAACATCCCCACCACATCCATCCCAACCAAGCACAAGCAGAATCAAGCATATTTTTGCTCAACTTCTCTACCTTAAATTACAAATACAGAGCTTATCATACTGAATTAGAAACTTTCTATTAAAAATATGTCTCCTTCACTGGTCTATCATAATTACTGTTGTAGCAGAATAGTACCATTTAATTTAATCTGAATGCACATCCATATAAATATCTTCAGATAGCACTGGAATCACCTCATGAAACCAATCATTCTAGTTTCTTATATGGCTTTGGATATTCATGAACTTAGCTATGACCCATATTTGCAGATCACAGTGTAATATGTAGTAACAGCTAACTTGAGGGTGAAATAGGTGTCATTCATATCAATGTCCCACTCAGTCCCTAGCATAGTGCCTAGCATGTAGTAGATGATCAATCAATATTACACAGTTTAGATGTATGTATGCATGCACACACAAACCCTGGGATGGATGGATGGATGGATGGATGGATGGATGGATGGATGGGAGAAAAAAATAACACCGAAGAAGAAATCTTTGTAAGCCTATTTCATGGAGAACTAAGAAATCCTTTCTCTCCAAGTGTTAGTACCTAAACATAGACTAACCAGTACTCCATAATTCTCCCTCTACGTAAGCATATGTCTAACTAAATAGGAAGAGGGAGACTGATTTATCCCTTCTTTCCATTATTCATTAATTGGCCATTAGCACAGGTGAAAACCCTTCATGCAAATAGGAAGAATTACTTCAAGCTAATACAGCTCATCTCTGATTATCTAATTCAATAACTATAGAAACCCAAACACTGAGATGGTAAAGATCTTTCCATGGCTAGCATTGTAAAATTGCATTTGTGGTTTTGTCTCAAAGAATTTTCAATAGGATGAGGCCTTAAGCAACCTAGTCCAACACCTTCATTTCAAGGACTGAGAAACAAGTCAGAGAGATGAAGCCCCTTCTTCAAATTCACGTAATGAATCCATGGATGAACTAAAGTTTGCTGGTCTGCTGAGCCACTGTTGACTGCTTTTCTCACTAGGTTTGGAGTGGATTTAAATCCAGTTCTTCATATTGAAGCATTTGAAACACAGACAAGTGACTTGCCAAAGTCATAGAGACAGGAGGATCTGAGTACATAATGAAATTTAATAGTCAAAATTGTTGCTGATGCCAAAAAGTTTTTCTATTATACATCCAAGGTCACTCATGACCTTCACTCATGAAGACAGCAAAAGTTAAGCTCCTATTGAAGATAAAAATAACAATTTAGAATTTGTGGTCCTTGATTCAAAAGTAAATTTAACATAAAATTGTATTCATATTTTATTTCTACCAGAAAGAAGCAAACATTGAAGGCCACTATTATGGCCTTATTTCAAGAAATCAATACCAGAGTATATTCTGGCTGGAACCAGGGGAATTTCAACTTCACAACAAAAGCCATCTAGAGCTTTAGGACAGTTCTGTGATCAGTAATGATACTGATCCCAGTCACCAAAAAAAGGGGTTTCGTTCATTATTAAAATCTTTGGTGCATCATAAATTGTTAAACAACCTCTTTCCAAAACTATTAAAACAAAATACTGGATGTTTTAAGAGTAAAGCATTCATTCTAAAATTTTCATTATCCAGAACATTTCGTGCCTAAATTTGTCAAACTGAAAATTAATTAAACTCATATACTGGTGTGCATGTAATTTTCAAATAAAAGGTACCAAAGCACTATCAAGATAAAAATGTTCAACTTAATAAAGTTCCCGAAAGCAAATACATAGTTAAGAGTGAAAGTACACAGTATATCCATAATATATTTTCCCTGACTACAAAAGTCCTTCATGAATTTCCTATAATTTGGATATTTTTGAGGGTGTATCATTATACAAGCACTATCTATGGAACGGATTTGACTATAAAAATTAAAGGACATTTTTATGCTATTAAGTCACTGTTATTATATATACGGTTTAAAAATTAAATAGATGTTGCTTATCCCTTTCAACCGACGATCACAAGTTCTCTGCATTTAGCCTTTGGTTGATCTGTAGATGTAAAGATTTGGACAAACAGAAAATATTTCACTGTGGTGATTTTGAATTTGTTGAAATCCTTTCACAGATATTATGTCTTTTCTATATATAAGGAGACCCAGAGAAATTAAGGGACTTGCCTAAAATGATACAACCATTTAGCTGCAGAGCCAAACAGAATTTAGGATTCTTGATTCCAGCCCCAAAGGTAAGAGGCACTTTGATGGAGGGGAAGCATCATTACACTAAGACTTGGATTCCAGTCCTAGCTTGCTACAGAAGCCAGTTTCTCCACCTCTCTGGGATTCGATTTTCTCCTCCAAAAAAGAGCTACTGCATAGCGGTGGCATCACTATTTTTCAGTTATTGTAGCATATTGAACCCTCACTATGTGGCAGGTGCTCTTTATACTCGAGCTGCTGCCCTGGGGAGATGCTCAGGCTCCAGAGTCAGGCAGGCATGAGTTCAGATCACAGATCCATCACGTACTAGCTTTGTTCCCTTGAGCAAACCAACTTCTCTGTAGCTCAGTCTCCCCATCTGCAATGGAAGTAATAATTCCTAACTCATAAAGTTGTTGCAAGTCCTAAAGAAGCCAATGCCTGTCAATAAAATGCTGTCCCTGGTACATAGTAAATGTTGAGTAAATATGAGCTCATCTAATTTTGATTAATTATTTTATTATTAAAACTAATAGAAGTAGGGCGGGACATGAGACTAAATAACCTCTAAGGACTCATCTGGCTCTGTCTGCTCCCATGACCCCACTCTGGAAAATATCATTATGCTCAATTGAATTTCTCCTGTGGTGACAAATACTGTATGTGACTGATTTAGTTGCAGATGATCCATCACCAAAATAGCACTTAAATGATTTTTCATATACTCAGGAAAATTCACCTGAAATTCTGATGAAAATCTTCTATTTCTATTTTAATGCATCAGTGATTGTTTTTAAGAGATGCATCAGTATTTAGTAGTGTCCTATTGAAAGTTGGCTGGAGAGACAAATTTAGGGTGTGCTGGCACTGTGTGGACATGCTGTTTGTGACTGTATATATCTAGAGGAACTATTAAATAAGCTGTAAACTCTTTTTAAAGGTTTGAGAGGTAAGACTGGACCACTGGGCCTTGCTGGAGAGAAGGGGGACCAAGGAGAGACTGGGAAGAAAGGACCCATTGGACCAGAGGGAGAAAAAGGAGAAGTAGGTCCAGCTGGGCCTCCTGGAGCAAAGGGGGACAGAGGAGAGCAAGGGGATCCAGGGTTGCCTGGAGTTTGCAGATGTGGAAGCATCGTGCTCAAATCCGCCTTTTCTGTTGGCATCACAACCAGCTACCCAGAAGAAAGGCTACCGATTATATTTAACAAGGTCCTCTTCAATGAGGGAGAGCACTACAATCCTGCAACAGGCAAGTTCATCTGTGCCTTCCCAGGGATCTATTACTTTTCTTATGATATCACATTGGCGAATAAGCATCTGGCAATCGGGCTGGTGCACAACGGGCAGTACCGGATAAAGACCTTTGACGCCAACACTGGGAACCATGATGTGGCTTCGGGGTCCACGGTCATGTATCTGCAGCCAGAAGATGAAGTCTGGCTGGAGATCTTCTTCACCGACCAGAACGGCCTCTTCTCAGACCCGGGTTGGGCAGACAGCTTGTTCTCTGGATTTCTCCTGTATGTTGACACAGATTATCTAGATTCCATATCAGAAGACGACGAGCTGTGATCAGGACTGTCGTCCTGAATGTTCCAAGATTTTTGTGGCAGACACTTTGACTTAATCTGGGGCCTTGGAAGGTGGAGGAATCAGCAATGAGATCCAAAGAGACTCCCACTCAGATTCCAAAGCATTTACAGAAAATTCTAGCAGAATCTATTAAAACAAGATGAACCACCAAATGGTTGAAACCACACCAAGATGAATTATATGAAACAATAACCCCAGATAAGAATCCTCCTGAAAGCAATGGTCATAAATATTTAAGCAAATTAAAGACAATGTTAACAAATTTCTGTTAAACTCCCTGAGTGATAAAATCAGCTGGCAATGATATTGTCTCATTAAATATTCATAAAATTACACTTTTGCTTGTTACTTAAGAGAATCATCACACCCCAGAGTCTTTAACAGTTCTCAAAAGTCAAAAACTAAAGGTAAGAGATACTAAGTGATTGCAAGTAAGCAAAAGTGATAGCTTTCCTTTTTTTGTTGTTATGCGTTCCTTCGTGCTCATATCTGTATTCACTCAACAGCTCTTAAATACGCCTGTGTGAGTCAGACACTGAGGTGCTAGGTCAGATCTGATCATGAGTTTGGACAAAAGCTGTGCCTTCATTCGGCTGGTGTGTGAGGAGCATGCTGTCACAATTCAGGGAGATGAGCACCTGACCAACAGACTGACTCCAAGCTGGACATACATGGGAGCCGCTCTTCCTGGGGACGGGGGCCAGAGAAGGTTTCACACGTGGAAAAACACTAACCATGCTAAGTTGTGTGTGTTTAAGGAAGTGGGAGGGATACGAAAGAAACAAGGAATTCTGCAGCTGCATTTACCCCATCCCATCCTCGAAACACGACTGGTATTCTCAATCAGAAAAGGGTGGAAAACCCAGAGATAAAGGGGACCTGGGAAGGGTAATGGAAATGAAGAGAAACAAGTTACTGAGATCAGCCAAGAGGTCATTCTCCTAAATTTGTTTAGCTTGATGGTTTCCAAGACAATTATTATTCCTCTTAGCTTGCACATGAATGAGGACACTACCTTACATTGGTGGGAAGCATTATTTCTCATGGATTTCCGAGGTATTGAATCCAAATAAAAGTGAAGCGTATGTGCACTGATTTATAGTGAAACGGTGGCAGTGAACAGGAGGAGGAGGGAAAGAGACCAGACGTCTGAGCAGGTAACTGTCGCTTCCAAGCCTCATGGCCCCTGCAGTCCTGCTGTCCCTGGGGGACATGATTCCACATGATTTTTCATGATTTCTACTGACAGTGATAGGATTCCCTTACTCTCTTTTTGGTGGCTTCTTTTTTTAATGTTTATTTATTTATTTTTGAGAGACAGCAAGGGGGGGAGGGGCAGAGAGAGAGGGAGAGAGAGAATCCCAAGCAGACTCTGTGCTATCAGCACAGAGTCTGACAAGGGATTCAAACCCACAAACCATGAGATCATGACCTGAGCCAAAATCAAGAGCCAACGCTTAACTGACTGAGTCACCCAGGCTTTTTGGTGGCTTCTAATTTTTCTTCCATGCTTTCTCTCTTTGCTCACTCAGTAAACGTTTGTAATGCCTCCTATGTGTGAGTCACCGAACTGGGTTCTGTGAAGGTAGAGGAATACCAAGGTAAATCTGTCACAGCCCCCTGCCACCACATGTCTAAGGATACAAGAAAGGAAATGACATGTGTACACATAGACAAAATACCAAGAATTCTAGAAACGAACGGGCTAAAATATGCTAAGTTCTAAACTGGACATAGAGACCAATGGTCTGGAAGAAAAACTGAGGGGGGCAGGTGTAAAATTGAGCGGTGAGAGAGGAGGCCTGGAGAAAATCTCTTCCACCCTCTGGTCCTTCAGTGGTAGGTGGGACTTGGAATAGCCAAAGTGGGGACAGCGGTGACAATGGGGACAAAGCATGAAAGTGAGAACAGAGACCCAGAAGAGCCTCAAATGCCAGTGTGACGATGGGGGACTTCATTTATGAGGAACCCTGGAGCCCCTGTGTGCCCCAGAGCTGGGCGCTGCCCTTATCAGCAAGGACATTTGCCGTGATCAAGCAGCTGTGCACAAGGAAATGCTCGCTTCTGTCATCTCCAGACGTATCTCCCATCATCCTCTTCCGCCTGCCTTGCTTTGCCCACTTGTTGGCCTCCATCTGAGTCAGGACACAGGTCTGGAAGGCTAAGGGCAATGAAAGTATACAAAGAAGAGAAAGCAAAGGTGGTTTGAGATAGTCACCTCCCTCTAGATAACAGCTTAACCTGGAAGGCCAGGCTACAGAGGGTAAACACAGCCAAGAGCAGAAGCTGATCTGGGGATCATGAAACTATGGGCCCTTTGAAGACAGTGGGATGTGCTGGAAAAACTGGCAATGGAGGAGTTATTGCAGACAGTCGTGAGCTACAAGGTTGTTGTGTAACTGAGAACTTTTGCTGATCGTGATCCATTAATGCATTCATTTTTTTTCTGGACGTTGTTTACTTATCTTTTAAATGTTTCTTTCATTACAAAGCCTATTTTGAGTAGCTTTCTTAAACGCATGTTTCTTCAGCTGGTTCTAGGCCCAGAGATGAACTTTATTTTGAAATATCTGGTGGGATGGTGATGGGGATCAGAGAGCTTAAGTAGGAAGCAAAAGGGTATTTTGGTTTTAAAAGGAAAAACTCCTTAAGCAAACATGGCTGTCTTTTATTCCGTAAAAAAAAAAAAAAAAAAAAAAAAAAAAGACGACAGATACAACATATCCACATTTGTGGGTATTTGTGTAAAGAAAATAGAAGACAGATTTTGGTTTAAAAAATTCTGATTTTTTAGATTCCAATCATTCTTCGTAAGGGCTGACTTGTGATGAATTCGTGTCAAGAGAGATTTATTGACTATATAACATCTTGTTTCAGAAGGATTTAGAGTCACTTGCAAAGACGGATACAGCACAGAAAGAATGCATTAGTCAGAATCAGGTGAGAGGAAAGGAGCAAAACAAACAAACAAACAAAAAAACAAACGAAAACAGCAACAACAAGTGAAACCTACACAAACCTGTGTGGTGAGCTTGAGTGTGCCTGTGTAACACGCTTTCGGGACACGTGTGTTTCTTTGTACCTGTGCCTGCTAAAGGGCATTCCCAGGTCACTTATCATTGTGAATGATGTTGTTTGTGGTGAAAAACGAAAGATTCTATAAACTCTAAATATACTTCTTCCCTGCCACTCTGTGAAAAAAAGATCACGGACATAAAAATGTTTCGGAAACTGACTAACGTGTTGTTTGATACCTTCTTCCCTCTTGCCTTCTGTACCTCCATTTCCAGCCGGCGACATCCATACCCACCCTGTCACCAGTGTCACACCTAAGGACATTCCAGATGTCATTCTTCCCCTCCCCACTGAATTTTTTCAGTATGAAATTCTTGATGGTTCTAACTCTTACATGTACATTTCTGAATCCTTGTATCTTTCCATCCCCAAAGCCAAGGTTTCCTTCATATGCTATCGTGACTTCCCTAGACTAGTAAAAAACAACTTCCTAATGGACCCTTTGCCTCCAGCCGCAACCCTTCAATGCATTCTCCACAAATACAAATATGGTCACGTCAACCCACAGCTTACAGACCAACAATGGCCCTCCAATCCCCGCAGTATGAAAGGGGCCTTGAACTTTTGGAGGCTTTGCTATCTGGTACACATTCCATACCACTTTTCTGACATTCATACATAATTTCCTTCTGAAGAACCATCCTTTACATGCTAAGTCTTTGAGCTTCTAAATGGAATCGACTCCTGCACCATGTTAAATCACTGGTCTGATCAATCAGAGCATAGCATTCCACTCACCAAAATAATTGGCCCTGGTGACTCAATCAGAGACTATGAGACTTTACTGGGACTTCTTTCCTGTTGGACTTGAGTCTGTGAGCCTCTATGAGCCATCTTACCATTACAGAGTATAATACCATTTGAGACAGAATCACCCACAGATGAAGTCGAGTTGGAGATAAAAGGAGTCACCATTGAAATACTAGGCATGCCTATAGCCCATCTTCCTTTGGACTTTTCAGTTATGGTAGCCATTAAATGCCATTTTTACCAAGCACTTTTGAGGTGGGTACTTAATCACTTGCAAAAGATATCTTACCTAATATTAATACAAACACCCTTTAGCAAGGCACATTAGACCCTTTGGGATTCAGCCTCTGCTTGCTTTTATGGTCACATCGCCAAAAGTCACCACATGCAACCTATAATCCAAGCAAATACAAGATACCTGCCGTTCTAGGACACCTTGTTCTTATGTGCCTCAGGGCCTTTACACACACTGTTTCATTTGCTCATAATGCCATTGCTGTCCTTGTCTGCCTGCTTAGCTCACCTTTCAAGACTCAGCTAGAAAAGTTACTTCCTTTTCTCTAGTATGCCCCTTCCCCTATGCCCAAGGGGAATCATCAAGGACCTCACACATCTTCCTTATGATCTGGGAACTAGTGCAGAGTTACGATAGCCACAGTGAATGTTTAGCACTATTCAAATGCTTTACATATATTAGCTCACTTGCTCCTCACAGCAGTTATTCTCTCGTTTTACAGATGAAGAAACTGAGAGGCAGAAAAGATAAGAAATGTGTTAAGTAAATAGCGTCACAGTAGACCCAGGCAGTGGAGCACCAGAATCCACTCTTAATCACCATGCTGGGTCCTTCTCCTATTACACACTCATTCTGCAATCATGCCATCATTGCACTGCCCATATTTTTCTACATTTGGCTATCTCTCCTATTCATCTTTATACTCAAGGATGGCACACAATGCTGACCTTAATATGCACTTGATTAAAAAAATGTGATGGACTGATCAGTGCCAAGTTCTTTTTAGCCTCAATTTCTACATAGATCATTGCACTGGGGGAGGAGTGACCCGTTCCTCCCCCCTCTCTCATTGATGCTTGTAAACATCATCTTCTTTCTATTTCAGCTGGAAGCTAAGCCCACCACAGTCAGGACTGGCTCCCCCATGATCAAAATATGCAGTGTGGCTAGAGCAGACAGCTCTGCAAACTCTAGGGAGACAAAGCTATTCTAACTTCCCTTGTTCTGCACAAGGAGCAAAGATGGACCCCGGGACAGGTGTCAAGTCAGTGGGTCTGGTTTAGTTCTCCCAAGGAGAACTCAGGCAATCTTTTACAACACCATGTTCATCGTTATGCTTACAAAAGTCAGGCAGCCTGAACTCCTCTCGGTTTTCCTCACAAGACAGTCCTCATAGTAAGCACACACACACACACACACACACACACACACACACACACACACAGATTAATCCTCACAGAAGCCAGGAACAAGCAAGCAAGACTACACTTTGCA